ATGTTATAACATTACCAAATTGACTCTACCGGTCGCGACGCTGTCAGACGCCATGATGACCTCCATCAAAGCTGACGCGAAGGCCTATTTGCAAAGGAGTTGACGCTTTCGTGGGAGCCCTGACATTGCTGCCCTCGCAAAAAATAAATGCTTATCATTCTGCAGGCGCACATCGCCGGATGCTGCTCTATTGACTCTCGACAAACGCTCGTTGCATCTCCTGTCTCTACCTCGTCTCTATGCGTGAACGTCGCTCGCATCCAATTCGAGGAACGTCCACACCTCGAAACATTATCCTTCGCACCTACTCCTTGAGCTCAGCCTTCTTCTCGTTAATGACCTTGAGCACAACGGGGTTTGTCACCTGCTTCACCTCCTCCAGGAACACAGCACGGCGTGAGCTCAGCTCCTTCTTGGTCTCCGCTGACAGGTTCTCCAGCTTCTGCGCCTTCAGCAGAGCCTGCAAACACAGCAAGAACTTCTTCTTACGCAGCGCAATATCGAACGCAGCAAGGTGCGTCTTCACGTCCTCCGAGGCATAACGTTGTAGAATCGACACGAAGCGCCAGGCCTCTTCAAGAGCAGGCTTCGCAGCGAGCTTCTCGCCGAACGGATCGTCGTCCTTGGGGCGCGTAGGGCCCGGGTTTGCCTTGGCCTTGCCATTCTTGGTGGCCTCACGCTCCTTGTCCTCGACCTCCTTGTGCAGCTTCGCATTGAGCTCTTCCTCCTCTTTCCTTTTGAACTCCGCCTTACGCGCCTTGGCCAATGCACGCTTCGCCTTCTTCTTCTCAGCAGCCGACATGTTGGCGTTGGCTGCAGCGATCTTGGCCTCCTCCTCGACCTTCTCTGCTTCCTTCTCCGCCAGAGCAACGTAACTAGCGATGGCGCCATGGGCAGCCTCCACGAAGAACGGGCGGCCGTAGATCTCGTCACACAGACGCAGCATCTGAATGTACGCACGCAGCGTCATCTTGCGGATGCAGTACGTGTGGAAGTCGAACTGGTCCTCCACGAAGTCGTTGAAGTGTTTCTCCACGGCGAAGAAGCGCTTCAGGGCCAGGCCGTACTTCTTCTGACGCAGTTGGCTCTTGCCACACTCGATCTCGTACCACATGCACTGCATATCGTACAAATTCTGCTGCGGGTCACCTTCATGACGAGTGAAGAGCGCAATGGTAGCGTCGGCCTCCTCCACGCGGTCCGCATGCAGCAGATACTCTGTCGCCTTGTTGTTGATGTATCGGTCAGCCAGATCAAGCTTGCGGCCTTCAACCATCACGTCAGCGGCCTTGTTGAGGTCGCCCATGTGCTTCAGAATACGTGCCTTGCGCTGGAAAAAGTCCAACAGGGTCGGCTCCTGCTTGATGCACTTCTCAATGTACTCGATAGCCTTCGTGTGGTTGCCCAGGCGGTCGAAGTGCTGCGCTGCGAGGTAGTTGGTCCATAGCAGCACCTGTTCAGTGTCGTTGGCAGCCATCGAGTTATCTCCCATGTCCAGCGGCTTCTTGGCCTCCAACGTCTTCAAGTATCTGAGAATCAGCTCCTCCAGCGTCTTCACCTTGTCCTTGTCAGCGTACAAAGGCTTCAGATCCGATCCAAGCGACGGCACGTTCTTGTTCAGCTGTCTCTTGAGATATACATCCGCGTACGTCTTAAACTCCACACCACGAGTAAAGTCCAGTGGGAAGCGCAGGGAGATCAGCGACGTTGCGCCAATCGTCGTCTTCTTCTCAGCATAGAAATCCACAAGGGCCTTCTCAATTTCAGCTCCGTTCTTTTCCTTGGTGAAGTCAATCGTCTCGGACGGCAACGGCGCCTTCTTCGGACCAGACTTGGCTACAAACAGGTCCTTGCGCTTGAGAATGGCACACTGCACGCCACGCTGGAACTCTTCGTTGTCAAAGTTGATCTCTAGCAGCTCCTCAAACACCTCATGTGCCTCGTCATAGCGCTCCAGCTGCAACAAGAACTGTCCCTTCTTCTGGCGCCACGCCAAGGTGTCCGTGATCTGGCTCTTGTTCTCTTCCAGGTGAGCCAGAGCCTTCTCAGCGTCGCCGGATTCTTCAATCAACTGGTTCTGGTACAAGTAGATCTCGCTGTCCTCGTAATTGGACACACGTTCGCCCTCCAATGTACTGAAGTATTTCTCAATAATGTCAATAGCCATTTGGTAGTTACCCACGAGGTGGTGCGCGATGGCAAAGCCGATCCAGTTGTTCCGGTTGTTGGGCTTGAGCGTGAGCATGGTGCGACGCGTCTCGGCGAAGCCCTTGAGGTCACGCATCTGCACCTGCAGGAGGTACAGGTCCCGCAGGATCTGCAGGTTCTCGGGATCGATGCGGATGGCGTTACGGTAGCACTTGATGGCCTCGTTGTAGTTGCGGTCGGAGCGGTACAGCAGACCGAAGACGTGCCAGCACACGTGCGAACGAAGGTCGTGGCGAAGGCCGCTCTTGACGAAGTCGTAGGCCTCTTCCTTGCGGCCCATACAGTTGAGCGTCAAGCCTTTCATGGCCAGCGTCTCGCCGTGCTCTGGGTGCTTCTTCAGGATGGCATCAGCAGCCTTTAGACCTTTCTTGTACTGCTTGATTTCGTAGCATTTCTATAATGTGTCGGAGACAACAGTATTAGTGGCAATGACAGTATGTTGAATTGAAGAGCTTGTAGACGGCATTAAAGCACGCAACAAGCATGGAGAGATAGCATATCGAAGGGAATAAGATGGGGAAGCATATACGTACCACAATGGAGCGGAAGAGCGCGCTTTCCTTCACGGGCAACTGCTTGCTGGCGACCGCCATCGCCTCCAGTCAACTCTACGTCGATGATTGGGATTTCGATGAGCGGGGTGGGTACCGTGGATCTAAACAGCATTTGAGCCAATGATAGAGGCGAAAAAGAAACTAGTTGATATAATTCGTTAAAAGCTTAGAATTGTTTTTCAGCCAATTAGTGCACTGTACCTTCGCGTACTTTCGAACGACCTTCATATCAGACCGATCTTTTCTCGAACATGCCGTCGACATTGTCGAGTCAATGACTGGGTCTGGGCAGGCTCCACATTGCGGTGGTGCGTGCTTCGACTAAACCAGCAGTGAAGATACCAACATTCCTTTTCACAAGAGCAGAGTAGTGTATTCTTCGCAATGTAAAAGATGAATTATCCGATCACGGAAAATACAACGACCTCATGCGGGTTGCAGGCCGCTCTAGCAGCGAAAAGACTTGACAGCCTCCGTAAAAGCTGCTAATACATGACTGCCGCTAAAGCAGGAAGCATGACCGCACGTTACTACTAGTAGGCAAAGAGCTGTCGCGTCGATATCCATTGGATACTGTTCCCAGTCCCATGCCTCGCAAGGCGCCGTTTACTGGGACTTCTCCTCAATCTTGGCCGCCAGCTTCTTGGCCGCATCCTCGCCGCGCTGGAGAGCCGAGTCGATCGTGCCGACGTGCGGGGCCACGTAAGGCTTAATCAGCGAGTTGTAGATCAGGTTAGAGCCCTGTAAAAGAGAAAGATACGACCGTTAGAATGTGTCCA